GGGTATTTTTGTTTTTTAAAAAGAAAAGTGCTGGCTGTCTTGAACTTGTGGATTGACACACATCATGTATTTGTCACTTTTCACAACACCAGTGACCTACTCGTGTACAAATAGACATTTTTCACAACACCAGTGACCTACTAGTGTACAAATAGACATTTTTCACAACACCAGTGACCTACTCGTGTACAAATAGACATTTTTCACAACACCAGTGACCTACTAGTGTACAAATAGACATTTTTCACAACACCAGTGACCTACTCGTGTACAAATAGACATTTTTCAGCCTGCTTGGCAATGTTTAGTAAATTTTTAAAAAAAATCATTACCTTTTATGTCCATTTAAATTCTCAATTCAGTGTAGATTTTTTTGGGTGAAAATGTTGATGAAAAGTACCAAAAAAATGTAAATTTGCAGTTTCCAAGGACGCTCAAGCTTTGGAAATCTCCCGACTTTGAGAGCCACTTTCTCTCGCTGTTTTTGAACCTTTGACCCCCGGCTACCCCCACCTCCTTCACGTGCAAATATCTCAACATCTATTCAAGGTAGATGGATCCTGTTTTCACCAAAAGCAAGACAAAAGAAAAAACTTTAATAAAATGTGAGTCGTGCTGACAAAATGAGTTAAACTTCTCCGACTTTAGCCCTATGGACATAGATACGTCAGATTTATTGGTTAAGTTTATACAATGTATTTGTATGAAATGATAAAAGAAATGTTAAACTTGAAGAAAATGACATCCGTAAATAATCTACAACTTTGACCCCTGTGCCGGTTTTTGTCCCATATCTCCATTCGTGGGGTGGGAGAAGTAACTCATTTTGTCAGCTTGCTTCATTAATGATACCAATACCTCCATCTGGCCCCAAATTGACGAGCGCTTGATTCCACAGCGCAACGACACATAATTTTCCCGAAAATTGACCATCGCCTTGTTCCATCACGTGTGGCACAAATGCTACGTTGAGAAGATACATTATTTAACTCTTTTTGCATTTAGTATTTCCATGTAACACGTATTTATAGACACACCTGCAATATGTCTGTTAGCTTCCACTGTTTGGTCATTTGTTGTATTCAGATTATTTTGTGCATAAATTATTGCATCAATTTTTTATGTCGTCAGCAAGCGGGTTAAATATTATGTACAAATTGTAGTAGTTACCAGGCCCAGAAATCAAAACTTTCTAGGAAAAGGAAAATACTGTTTCATCTTCTCAAGAATTCTACCGACATTGTGTATATTTTTATATTTCTTGCTTGCTTTTTTTTCAACATTCATTTAGAATTTGAATTTTGACCACATATTTCTTCAGCACGTGCAACTACTACTATTGACTGAGAAACTGCAAGTTAATGATTTTTTTTCTTCAAAATTTGAGCTGAGCACTTTTGAAATGTTGGCTGCTAATGTATATGTTGGCTGTCTCAGCCAAGTCAAGTCACTAAAAAGGATCTGGATTTCAGGAAATCTTGTCATTATCCAGACTTTCCATTAACCGTATATATATATATATATATATATATATATATATATATATATATATATATATATATATATATATATATATATATGTGTGATTGAGTGTGAGCGTTCTATTCAGGCCCTTGTGATCATTGATAATAAATGATGATAGTGATAAAATATTACATTTATACAGTAGAACACGGATATGTCGAACACAGAAGATTCCAAATTACTCATCTGTTGAACTGTGCCTGCGGTCCTGTTTTTTGGGGGGTTTTTTCCTTCTTTATCTTCGTAGTACACTGTGACTACCACGAGGAGACTGTTGAACATCTTCTCCTTCACTGCCCAAACCTGGCAGTTCTTCGATGCAGGCTCCTACACACACCTACAGACTTACAAAGCCTGCTCTACTCTGGCGTTGACCAGATGACAAGGACATATGGTTACTTG